TCTTGCCGTGTGACTATACGTTGCCTAGGGTGCACCACGTGGAGATAAGTCTATCGCTCATCCCCCACAGTATTAGAAAATCTTAATAAAACCGAAAACTCTTATCTTACACCATAACTTGAAGTATCTGTTGGGATGCCTATCGGAAAGTATGAAGTGTTATGAGCCAGAAGCATAACTGGTTGCAGCATGAATTCCACTTCCTCAAATGCTTTTTAACAGTCAGCAGTCTGGCACTTGACAGTGGTATTCTCGAGGAGACCATTCATTCGACCCTGAAATTCGCACAACGCATCCAGGTCAAACCATGTGGCAGGCTACCTAGCTGAGTTCCGATGGCACTTTCCGTCCATGTGCCAAAGATTAAACTACTGTGTTGGTTGTAGAAGTCTTCATGACGTATGAAAATGAAGTAGGGAAGGTTTAGTCGCTTTGAAGAAGAGCACTTTGGAATGTCCTGGGTTTTCACCTCATAAGAGTTTCGTCAGTACTGGGGGGTAATTTGATGGCTGTTGTTACATGCTCGTCGAGAATCTTTTCTGTTGTTCTCTCCACACTTAATCGCTGAGGTGTTCGCTTCAGGTTATCAATGAATCACTCCGCTTGATCATGTGATTGAGGATGCTTTGGAGGAGAGTTGAAATGAGTGATGATATGTCATTATCAATTATGTGGAATTCTGGAACTGAGAATATATGGCGAGAGCTACAGATCATCATAATAGTTGTAATGGACTTCTGCAAAATAGCTTCGGGGCAATTTTTCACGAAAAGAAATGAGTTCATTAACAAGTGCGTCGAAGCGGAGCTGTAGACTTGTGCCTGATACTAGGTCCATGGAATGGAGGAAGTTGACAATTTCTCCGTCAGGACATTATTGGGTGAACAAGAAGCGAGAATTTCACTGTATTCCGATATTCTATGTAGAATCGTTAAAGCCTATTTCACCATGTTCTGGGCTACTCTTTTGAAGCCAAAGTGTAGTAGTAGTGTGTAATTCGATCAAAGAGAATGAAATGAAACATCTTCACTGTGAAAATGATTACCAAAGACTTTTTTCAATCTCGGATAAAGTGAAAGTTGAGAAACCGTAGTCGACAACTTATTTGAAACTATCGGAGAAGAAATGAGAGATCACTAATCCCACTCCATATTTCGAAGTATTTACAGCCTCAAGAATCGGCACATTCGGGTATTGATAGCTCAGCATCGTGTCAAACGTGGGCATATTCTTTAGCTTTTTTAAAAGAATTCGAATTTTCGGAGGCCCAACTTCATTTCATATCTTTTCACAGCAACATATAGGGAGGCTCAAATACTATGCAGTATTGACATAAAGGCAGTGTAGAAGTTAATGACTCTGTAGTTGCCTGGAGTCTTTCTATCTCTGGACTGGAGGCATTTTCATCAAAGATGTCTTCTGAGTGCCTAACAGAGGACATAAGGAAAATAAATTTTCTTCTAATTCCTGCTGAGAGGGACCTATAATGATTATGTCGTCTAAAGGTGCAGCAGTACTAGAGAGCCCCGATATCATAGCATTTTTTATCTGACACCGAATAACAGCAATAATAATAATTATTATTATTATATCAAATGGCAGGCGTTTTGATTGTTATCATTAGCCCTTTAGTTGACTTCAGTCTTCACAGAGGGGAAGGAACATCAAAGTGTACAAAATTCAAGAGGGGGGGGGGGTAGGGCTGTGAAAGCTAATAGATGTACACATCTACCTGAAAAATCTCACTTCCCATGACTCGGTGGTAATCGTAAAAAAATGTTACAAATTAACGACATGATTAAACAGTATCTCTTATAGTTTTATGGCGTTCGCTACCTTGAGGCAAAATCGGGATTAACACTGCTCTTTGTGAATCAAAGTTACTTTATTGAGAAGTTGAAGTGAAATGTGTTACAGCATCTAGATGAATGTGTGGACGTCAAATACACCATGAACCTCGCGGTTATTGGAAGCTGTGGCAGTAGATGGCGCTTATTTAGAAAAGGTTGAGGTAGGGTGAGTCTACAATTAGTAATTTTTATCGATCCGGGTTGATAAAGTAAGTGGAACATAGTGGGGGAACCATGAAAACAGCAAAAATCGATCACAATCTGTATATCTGCATAAATATTGGATAAATAACGAACCCTGACGGCATCTTTTTCATACCATAGGCAGAAGTTGACATGCCAACTATTGGATAATTTGAAGTTAGCTAACTGTTAGCAGTTTAAGAACGCAAAAGCAGAAGTAAATGCCAATCACAACCAGTTCACGCATTTTTATCTGGAAAATAAATTGCAATTAGCATATGAAACATGTCACACACAAAAATAGTTTTTTTTATTGATCGTACCAATTCCTTGAAACAATTGAGCAAAATCGATAGACTTACCTCCACGTGGTGCCGCCCGGGCAACGTATTCTCATACGACAAAAAATCTAGTAACTAGAAGTTGACTAGAAGTTTGTATGTCATATTCGACCACTTCCACCGTACTAATCTTACCTTTTCTCTGCCTTGGTATCTCCCTGTCTCTTTTACATCTTTGAAACTCTTCTGTTCCCCTCCCCTCGACTTTTTGTCACTTTGATACTTCTCCCCTCTGTGAAGCCCGAAGTCAGCTAAGGGGCTAATGATAAGTGTCATAAAGCCCGCCATTTGAAATATGTATAATTTAGTAAAATATTCAAAGAACACTGGCATTTGGAAGGGAAGAGAAGAACCTTCACATTGTTCTGCTGTTCTTTAAAATTAATATTATTTGATTTGTAGTACCAGTATCAGTTTTGAAATTTTTTTCGTCTATTTGTGAACAGTTTCCTAAATTCATAAATTTAATCAATCTTTGCAATGCGCTAAATTTATTTATTTCAAATGGCAGGCGTTTTGAAAGCTATCATTAGCCATTTAGTTGACTTCAGTCTTCACAGAGGGGAAGGAACATCAAAGTGTACAAAATTCAAGAGGGGGGGGGGAACAGAAGAGTGTATCAAAGACGAAGGTAGATAAGGTGGAAAAAAGGTGGGATGAGTACTGTGTAAATAGTCGAATATGACATACAGTGGGGTCATGGTAGTTTGAAATCAACTGCCAGGTAATCGACTTTTTTGCCGTATGAGTATACGTCGCCCAGGGTGCACCACGTGGAGGTAAGTCTAACGCACACCCCATAACAGCAATAATAAATACAGCCAATTTTGAATAAGAAGCATGTCTCAGTGTACATCGTTGTTCCAGACATTTGAGCTCTTCGTCCAGCATTGGCAATGATGCCTGTATTCGACATCAATCTGATTTCTCTACTTCTTGAAATATTTTGGAAAACACTGGATTATTATTTACATGTTGAATCGAAAGGTCGACGTAGAAAAATGTATTCGATACTAGACGACTTCAAAAACCTTTAATAGGTGGGTTCTTGACAGAAACCAAGGTCTCACGAACAGTCCAGAGTTATAAATTAAAGATCTGAACTTTTCTTCGGTTAAATTTTCCATAATTATCTAAGACCTCATCGTACTCGATTAGAAGGTGTTCTTAGAGAAAATTAAAATAACAATTGTAAAATCGGTATCTTTGACTTTTCCATGAATTATCTCCAATGCAATTTTTTTTATTCTAGAATGTTTATGCTTCCGGGGTGCGCGATAGACTTATCTCCACATAGTACGCCCTGAGCAACGTAAACTCATACGGCAAAAAGTCCATTACCTAGCAGTTGACTTCAAACATAAAATCTCAGGTGTCTACTAAATTTGTAAGGCAATGACCAACCCAATAAAGATTTATTTATTTATTTCAAATGACAGGCGTTTTGATAGCTATCATTAGCCCTTTAATTGACTTCGGGCTTCACAGAGGGAAGGTTCATCAAAGTAGCAGAAAGTCGAGGGGTGGGGAACAGAAGAGCGATTCACAGATGTAAAAGAGGCAGACAGACACAAAGGCAGAGAAAAGGGTAAGATGAGTACTGTGGAAGCGGTCGAATATGACAAGCAGTCGTGCCATGGTAGTTTGAAGTCAGAAGTCAACTGCCGATTAACAGACTTTTTTGCCGTATGAGTATACGTTGCCCAGGGTGCACCACGTGGAGGTAAGTCTATCGCACACCCTACCCAATAAATATCAAAACATCCTTTTTTGTAGTGAATAATTGCGCATAGTTTCCAGTGCGAATGTTATTGCACGAGTTTGGTTTCTATACCCCAATCAACTGATTACCTACGAACGGCATTTAGGTCTTTTTTTCAAGTTCTTATTGCCGCTTAGTGATTCGAAAGGAATTCGAATGTCAAGGAACTTTAAAACGAGTTCTTCTTGGTTGAACTTACCGTGAGCGATCGCTTTACTTAATTACTTAGGTGACACTCTGTTGGCCAACGCCGAAGTGAATGATTGACCATGTGAAAATCTCTTTTTTTTTAATATTTATCCTGAATATTGTAGATGATCCATTTCTGAGCGTAGCATGGAGATATTAGCATCTCCTGAAACTCGAACTGTAACACAAAGAGGTGATGCAAAGCCATCTCATTACGTTAAGGTCACTGCTAATCGATTACACGATAGAAACAACTGTTTATCAGAACCAAGAACCCGAAGTTATGGGGTCACTAAAGTGAAGTGAACTAAAAGGGCAAAGCAAAGTTATAGTGCAAATTATCATTCAGCTTCGATGCAGTTAACGCTAATAGTGAAATAAGGGGGAGCTTTTTAATTTGCTGTCAAACGCGGTTATATTATTTGTTTAAATAAAGTTCTAATTAAGCCGCCAAAATTAGCTCTGGCATTTATTCAATTTTGCAATGTTCTTCAGCCCAACCTATACGTAAGCTACTCATTATTGTTCTAGCAATCATTGTACTATATTTTGACCTTTGAGTGTAAAGTTACTTTCATACTTTGAATTGTAATGCGAAAGTTCGAATTACGTTTGTTGAATGTATGCATAACGATCAGTTTCGTTCCTTAAATCGAAAGCGGTGCAACCTCTGCCATGTCAACAATACGTCTTTCCAAAGATAATATTCGCTGGATGCTGCATAGTAGAACTTGCACAGACGAGAAACGTCAACCGCGCAAAATATGCCGAGATCCAAGATGCCTAGCGCTAAAGCAAATAAAGCAACATGTTCACGCCTGTAGACGTGGTCAATCCTGTCCGATACCTCTCTGTGCAACGATTGCCGTATGTAAAGAACATTTTGAATCATGCGTTGATGACCGATGCTTTACGTGCAAAGATATGAAATATGCTTTTTACAAGAGAGTCATTCCTAACGTGGAAATTTATCCCCAACCCCCTTCGAGAAATTTTTATCTCAGTCTCGAGGATAGAGGTGAACTAATTCGTGAAATGTAAGTTCCATTTTGTTTTTTTTCTTCATCCAAGTCCATTTTAGTGTTGAAAATTTTTATCCGAATGCAGATTACAGTGATCTTCAAGATGAGAAGTTGGCAACTGCACTTGAACGCGCGCGGATTATTGAATCCCAAGGCTATCAATGGGCGGAAACGTTAACGGCCTATGATCTTTTTATACATCGTGAAGCCAAAAGAATCATGGGTCCGGAAAACTGCTAGATTTGCTCTCCAATTATGTTAAATAGCTTGAAATAAACACATTTGCTCCATCAGTAAAATTGTCATGCGTAATTAGAGAAGGCAATGCAGATTCGGGGTAGGCGAATATGTAAATCGAGGTGGATAAAAGTAGCAAATGAGTTCATGACGTGGGCTTATATGTCCCTAAATGCCCTAAAAGGAGAAATGGAAATATTATTTATTTATAGAATGGCAGGCATTTTGACAGTTATCATTGGCCCTTTAACTGACTTCGGGCCTCACAGAGGGGAGGAACATCAAAATCACAAAATGTCAAGAGAGGGAACAGAAGAATGATTCGCAGTTGTAAAAGAGACAGACACAACGGTAGAGAAGAAGGTAAGATAAGTAATGTGGAAGTGGTGGAATGTGTCCTACAGTTATCTGTGGGACACGTCATTCCATGCCTGCACGCCAGGATTGGGAGGTGCCACCGTACAAACAGTGACCAATCATTAACCTCTGTTTGTTTCCGTAAAAACAGTGACCAATCATTAACCTCTGTTTGTTTAACCTAATCCGCCATCCTGATTCTCTGCGTGTACACTTTATCCGCAACATACCCACTGAATAAACGGTGCTCCGTGCCCTACACGTCTGTTTCCTTTATAGCTGGGCTATAGCTTAGCGCAACACGTCTGTTTCCTTTATAGCTGGGCTATAGCTTAGCTGAATTATACGTCTGTTTTCTTTATAGCTGGGCTATAGCTTAGCTAGTTCGGGAGTCTAGCTAGATGTAGGAGAATCTGCCAGAGATTTCTCGGGAGTCTAGCTAGATGTTGGAGAATCTGCCATAGAGACTTGATTTCTTTATAGCTGGGCTATAGCTTAGCTGGTTCTGGGAGATCCTTTCATAGCTGGGCTATAGCTTAGCTGGTTCTGGGAGTCTTTCATAGCTGGGCTATAGCTTAGCTGGTTCTGGGAGTCAGCCTATAGCTGGGCTATAGCTTAGCTTATTCTGGGAGTCTAGCGTAGCTGGGGTATAGCTTAGCTGGTTCTGGGAGTCTAGCTAGATGTGGGCTATAGCTTAGTTGGTTCTGGGAGTCTAGCTAGATGGTGGAGATCTTGCCATCGAGATTTCTGAGTCAGTCAGGCTTTACTAAGGTGTTTAGCTGGTTCTGGGAGTCTAGCTAGATGTAGGAGGATCTGCCATAGAGATTTCTGAGTCAGTCAGGCTTTCTTAGGGAGCAATCCGCTACAAGTCTACAAAACAATATACATAACTAGGGTAGCAATCCGCTACAATCTCGTTGTCACTTTGGGTCGTATCCGATACATTAAATGGAGGATTTTTATGAAGAAAAACATGCAGTTTAGATTCATTTTAATTTAAGAATCAGGTCATGACACTAAGATCACTCAGTATCAGCTTATGCATCAATCGCTTTAGTTTGTTATTAATCTCGTTTATTTGACGTTGCTTCCATTCTATATGAGCCTACATTTGGAAATAAATTCACTTTGTATTACATTGGCAAAATTTACAATTAAATATATTCATGTTAAGCTATTTACCTAACAACCATATGGAGATAGTAATTGTTTTGCATAACCATTAGTATGGTGTGTTCAATATATTTTATTAATGAAATACACGTTATAATGCCTCGTTTTGAGTTTTTTTTTATACAGTTAAGACAGAACAAGGAGGTCGAGGTTTAATATTTTTTTGTTAGGTATGTGGTCTTAATACCTTGATTTTATAAACAGAATTCCAGGAACGTTCGAGGATGCAAAAGATGACACTTACAAGTAATTGGTATTCGACAAACTGGGGGCTCAAGTAGTGTTAACTGAGCAAAAATATTGTAGTCTTGTTTTCGTTTTGCTTTGCGACCGATTGAAGCGGTCCTATTTCCCCATCTTATTTATTGCCTTCTATACGAAATTGTTTGAAACAACTCGTTCCGCCTTTTGAACTACGTATCCTCAATTTCTGCCACCTTTGTAACAACTCTGCTATGATATTCACTTGCCCACTATTCTGTTTATTCGTGGTACGATGCTATGCAGTACCACTAATTTGGAACAGCCTTAATTTACTTATATATCTAACCTAACACACGGCTAATAAAAATAAGAATTCTAATAACAAGAACGTTTCTTTCATAATAGTGAAATTTAGAGTTAAATCGATAGGATTTCTGTATTTAACTCGAAGTCTTACAACTGAACTCTTCAGTGCCTAAAATTCTTTCATTGAATCCGTCTTTTTCTTACGATTTGATTTCCTTATGTTTACTAATGTAAGCAGACAAAATACTGCTTCATTTGACTTGCCACAAGTTTACCTCAAATTTAGACCATTCAGAAACAGAGATATATTCAGCACAACAACAGGAGAGAAAAGCGAAGATGGAAATGTGGATGGTTGAAACGGACCGGTATTGGATCTTGATTGGTTTTTTGAGAATTTAAATGGCCCATTCTATCGTGTGACTTCTACATTCGTACACGATTTTCCTCGGTTCAATTTTTGTCCAATGCTTGAAATGTAAAATTTAACAAAATCAGTGAGTTCACTTCGCTGTTTCCATTGGTGATAGTTGGCATATATTGATTTGATGCACGCATTTCGTTGTTGCATTATTCATATGACTAAATGGGTATGGGGATGGGAAGCTTTTGAAATCGGTTAATGCAGCATTATATAACGTAAAATTTGGCTTAGTTCTTTAAACCTTTATCCCTAGAATTATTATTAGTCGTTAAACTGAGAGGTAACTTTATTGTCTATTTCACGGTTTGTTGCGTTTCGATTTCGTCAATCAAAGGAGAGAAAAGTGCCAACCTCAGCAGCTCAAGGGAGCCATCATAGTTAAATCCTATTGCATCTACACTTATAACTAGCTTGTACTCAATTAAACCATGTGTCAAGAAAAGAAGTGCAAACCGTCTTCGAGCTGGAGGTGGAGGAGGGGGGGGGGTTTCAAATCTTGGCTTATATTAAAGAATTGTATTTCCCGAGAATAATACTTTACATGATTGAGCAAGAAACTTGAATTGATATGAAAAATATCGAAGCAAGAAATCATATATTAAAAGGCTAAAGACACATTTGGTTATTTTCCCGCTCATAATTAGGAAAATTTTCAAACATTCTACATTCTTGTCATTATCGGATTTAAACAAAGATAATTCTGATTTTTTTCTAATTAAAGTAAAATGTCTTGTTCGCTTAATCGTATGGTCCAAGTTGAACAGTTATTCAAGATTAAGTCGCCATTGAGGCAGTCACCATTGTGGGACACATCATAAATGACCAAATAGAAATCCTGCTATAGAACCCTACTCAGAAATATTTTAGCTATTAATGTTCACACGAATTATGCTAGAGTTATCTGATAACTAATCGCTTTGCCAAACTTAACACTTCGCTATCAATATACGTACCGAATAAACGTACTCCGTGCTACACGTCTGCTTCCCTTATAGCTGGGCTATAGCTTAGCTTGTTCTGGGAGTCTAGCTAGATGTTGGAGAATCTGCCATAGAGATTTCTGAGTCGGTCAGGCTTTATTAGAGTAGCGATCCGCTACACCATTACTGTAGAAACTGAGAAGCTATATTTTGTGTCGCATTCCGCATTTATTCTGTTTAAACTAATAATTACTTAAATTAAGTAATTTCAACAATGATTCTAATTAATGGCTAAGGCCAACTAAATATGCTAGAGTGGATAATAATTTTTTTAACTTTCTAGAGAGCAAGAAGATCTTTAGGAGACTGAATGATTCACGTAATATAATAGAGATAAAGAAATTGATTTTTTAAGTGTCCTGACTATCATATTTACTACTAATGAATTTTAACCAAATTGTGAGTTACTCATATATACTCCTTCAACCCTGGATTCAAAATTATCTTAAGCAAAAGTTAATTTTTTACGCTCCTACAATAGATAACTAAATTAACTCTTGTTGAAAAGAAGTATGTCATTAAATTATTACGTTTTTGGTCTTATATAACGATATCTATTTAAACATAATAAATTCCTTGAGCTCGTTTATTTGCAGAATAAGGGTTTCGTGTGATTGAATTGTCCAATCATTAGTCGAGCTAGTTGTTGTCACGTTGTAGTATGGATATTGAAGATATCAGCTTAGTTCCCCCCAAGTCAGTTGTTAATGACAATGTTCATCCTCGATTCATCAAGAAAGGATTAAACGCAGATACAATAGAGGCCGTTGGGGATAATATTCCTGGTATGACTAATTGCAAATCTTAACTGAAACTGAATCTTTTGTATTCTTTATTTTCTCACGTTATTTTATACTCTAAAGGTACCCAAAAAATATTTATACAGGTTTGGGGCTGTGCTCATAACACTAGTGATGCTGAGTACATGGCTGGACTTCTTTCCGCATATGGCTATCAGGTATTGTATGTTTTCAACCTACTATGTATTCAGATTTTATCGTTTGTTAAATTATTATCTAATAGGTTACTTTAGGAGGAAGTTGCTGTGATAGTGAGAGTGCTTTTGACAATGAGAATAAATCGGGTGACGAGGTTGCAAAGGCTGAAGCAGACTTATGGCTTCTTAACAGTTGTACCGTGAAGGGACCTGCCGAAGATCATTTCCGCAATGCCGTCATTGCGGCCAAGGAGTCTGGGAAAGCTGTGGTTGTTGCTGGTTGTGTCCCGCAAGGCAGTCCAAACACTTCTTACCTCAAGGTGTTTGTGTTGTCTCACATTTTACTATGTTATTTTGTGGATTGTGTTTCATGTTAGATATTTCTATTTAGAATATTAGTGTTGTCGGTGTTCAGCAGATTGACAGGGTTGTAGAAGTGGTAGAGCAGACACTTATGGGTGAGTTATCCGTTTGTTTTTTTATCTATTTTGTCACTCACTATTGCATGTTAGTTTCTGTCAAAATGTGTATGTCTTATTTGAGAATGGTTCAGTGCTTTATATGTCGTTATTCTACATTTTAAATTTCAGCCGTTGACTTGAGTCTATATCCGTGTTGATGGAGTCGATTAGTTAATAGTGTTCTTTTGCACATTTTCTTCGTCTGCATGTAATTCTGTATTTGTTCCCTCTGCCTTCATTCATGGTCATAACGCAGCGTTGCTGATTACTTTCGTTTGAATTCTATGCGAGATAAACAAATTTTTGATCGAGTCTGCATATTTGTTATTGCTTGTCCAAATAAATGGAAGTTGTTTTGGATAAATTGTCGAAATTTGCTTATACCCGTGCTAGTTATTGAGCTCTGGAGATGTATCCTTTTCTATGGATTTTCAGACTCAACTTTATATTCACGTTTAAAAGGTTTTGACATCATCTTAAATATAAGCAGAAATAGTTTCAGTTGCACCATGTATGAAGAACACTTCATTTTCACACCAATTTAGGTAATGTGGTGCGTTTCATGGAGAAACGTGTAGCCGACACAAACGATCATCGAAGATTAGGTGGTGCACCGCTTTCTCTCCCCAAAATTCGACGTAATCCCCTCATAGAAATACTCGCCATCTCCACGGGTTGCTTGAATGCCTGTACCTACTGCAAAACCAAACATGCTCGAGGTGTCCTTGCTTCTTATCCCGTGGATGAACTTGTTCAAAGAGCTGTGGAAGCTTTCAACGGTAAGCTTTAACTTACTTTTAGAAGCCTAGCTAAGTTTCTGCAAGAATCTTTTCTCGGTCCTCTAAAATCTCGACAAAATCTGCTTGAAAAAGTACATGCTGTGTCGTGTAACTCCTTCATTCTAGAACACTTAGGAATTTGTCTCATACATATTGTTATAAAAGAACCTATGAATAGGTTCACTGATGGTAATATAGTGGAATTTTGGTAATTGCGACAAATGGAAAAGAAAATTTATTGTTTAATTACAACGCTGCACACATCTTCATTATGTCGATTGAAATTGTGCTAAATTAAAAGCTGAAATAGGTTTGAAAATTACCAAAAAAACTGACAGAAGTATTCCATAGACCCATATATATGAATATCAATTTGCTATTAAAAATTGTTGTTTTTTACACCTTAAGCTTTATTTTTAAAAACAATTTCGATCATAAATTATACTCGAGGATGTTAAATGGAATTAAGATATATGAGTCTCCTAGGGTGTTTAGTTCTTGTATTTGTGGATATATCCGACGAATTGGTTCGAGTATGAAAATGATAAAAGATTTAGAGAGTGGAATTTTCCCACATTTAGAACCTCGTGTTATTCAGCTACATGCAAATGCAACATTTAATACTCTAGGTAAAATTTTAGATATTTTTGTTTGTGATATAAAAATAGCCATTAGTTGCTTCTACTATCATTTTAGATGGCGTTAAGGAACTCTGGTTAACGTCAGAAGACCTCGGTGCATATGGACGTGATCTCTCTCGGTTACAGTATCCACTAGCAACATCACCTCCGTCATTAGCTGCCCAATGGCCACATCATCTAACTTTAGCGGATCTGCTCTATGCTTTGGTTCCTGTCATCCCACGGGGTGCTATGATGCGTCTTGGGATGACAAATCCACCCTACATTCTCGATCAATTGGAGTACGTATCTGCGGTTTTGAGGGATCCTAGGGTATATGCTTTTATTCACATACCCGTTCAGTCAGGTTTGAACAAGCTTGGCATACTTAATTATAATTATTAGGTTCAAACAACGTTTTGGATGCGATGCGACGAGAGTACACTGTAGAGGAGTTCCAGCATGTGGTCGATTTTCTCTCAAATGAGGTTCATTCTGTGTAAGTTTTCCGCTGTTCTGACTCATTTTCCTAGGCAAGGTGATAAAATGACAGTGGCGACGGATATTATTTGTGGATTTCCCAATGAAACTGAGGCGGATTTCCAGAAAACACTTCAGTTGGTGGAGAAAAATAGATTCCCCGTACTGTTCATTAATCAGTTCTTTGCTCGGCCTGGTACACCTGCCGCCACAATGGAACGGTAAGATTTTTTGTATTCCAGACAGCACTTAACAATGTTGTATTAACTCCTTTTCATTAGTGTATTCCAATCTCTTTATGTCAGTGATCTCTGCATTAATTGTTTCCTCATTTTCTCCACTTCTTTTCCACTTTTTTTAATCTCCACTTCCTCTCTTTCCACAGAATTGACGTTTATTCTGTGTTTGTCGTTTTAGCTGACTTTTCGTATTAAATGTTGATTCTATTCTATTCAGAAATGATTCCCCACCCTAAGCAAGTCCCTTCTTACTGGCAGGCCTTCTACTGTAGAGGATTCCTTTTTTACTTCAAGCTCATGGTAAATTGATGGCTAGAACAAAACAGACATTCTCTTGAGTCGTCTTGCCCCTTTAAACTATCTCAAGCGATCAATTTTGCCAGTTTCTTTATGCGATATTTGGGATATATTCTTTCGAATTTTATCAGTTGTGTGGTTCTCCGTGTCTGATTTGGTGTGCAGAAATCACCCACTGATTTTGTTAACTTTTTCTTCATGTTCTTCTTACTCGCCACTTACAATTTTCGAATATCTAAAAGTCTTCCCCCGGAGATACTGCTAGAAAGCAGGGCCTTGGCTGCTCACTAGATGCTTAGCACAATATTTTGATAATGAAGTAGATTCTTCTCCTCCCACTTTTCGCAATCAAACTGTGTGTGTTGAAATCTCTACTTCTTCCATCGTCTGTTAAGAATTGTTTAACTACGAACTTTCTTCTTATAAGTAAGGAAATTAGTACCTATTGCTGCGGGTAATGTAGTATTTTATTTTCTGCATTTGAAACAGACTTTGAAAGTGGAAATAATTTCATAAGCATATGCTCTTTTTATGCAGCTCAGCGACAACGGCGGCAGTTAAGCTACGAACAAAGGCCCTGCATAACCTTTTCCGAAGTTATCAACCTTACGCCGGTCGTGAGGGTCGGCAGTATCGTGTTCTTATAACAGAGACTAGTACCGATGGAAAACACTGGGTTGGTCACACCAAAGCGTACGAGCAGGTAGGCCTTAAAATCATACTTCTATTGAAATACCTTATTACTAGTTGCAATCTTATATTTCGCTTTTTTTATTATTAGATTCTCATTCTAAAGGAACCTGGGCTCCACGGTCGTATAGTGGAAGTGATGGTGACAGAATGTGACAAATTCTTCATGAGAGGTGTTGTGACTGACCGCGGACCATTTGATTCTCTTTGCGAAGAGACTGTGAATACTCATGAATATCTTCAGATTCCCAAGCAGCAAAATGGGGAAGTACCAGCCTCAAAAACTGCACCGTCCTGGTGTTCGACATTGATGGGCAAATCTTCTTTGCTTTCATCTCTACTTGTGCCTTCTGCCGTCATTTTGTTGCTCGGAGTATGGGTTGTTATGAAGAAACATGTGTCTTGAGTCTTTGTGCAGATTCGCTCAATTACTGTACAGAATTTGGATAATATGTTATTTATCTAATTTCTCGCATGCTCTTTTGCTGTGTTGGTGGGGGTAGTGTTGATAAAAGGGGCCGTCTAAATGACCTTAAATGTATGGAATGCATATTGGAACAGTGTTAGCTGTATCTATTGCTAATTAGGTATGCTGCATTATTTCTTCCTGAGGTATGCTATCATCCTTATAAAAAATTTAACAATTCGTTCAGGTAAATAATTTTTTATAATGCAGGTAATGTTAATAGGTAGGCATTTGGATAAAATCTGCAATTTAACGAGCGGATTTGTTGTTCAATTATATTTGTAAATGTTTATTAGGTCAGTCTCAAAATGTCGGCGCCGAATTCGTACTATATTTCAGATTGCCTAAAGGGTTGGGGTCTTGTCGATGCTTATTTTTCGTCCTTAGATTAAAGATGCTTTTGAACATATTTGTATTTATTTTGCTATCTAAAATATCAGTGTGCTCAACTACATTCGGTAAACTACATTCTTTATTGTTAATCGGATATTTAGAATTTGATTTAAATAACAATATTAGCAGTTTATCAATAAGGAACTACCCTTCAGCTTTGACGCGTCATGTTAACCATACGTGGACATATAAAGCTTTAAAAGATAATCAGATTGTTATGAGGGTTCATAAAATTCTTTTGTTTCCTGGTGATGAAATTATAGTCTATGATGAATTCCCTGATACAAAATTTATAATCGGTAAATCTTGTCTTTTTTCATTATATGATTTGTTCATTGCAGCCAAATTTTCGACTTTCAATTCTTCTTCAACCAAATTATTATCTTTGAGTGATACTATTTCCATTGAGTTGACCAGCACTTTTAATTTTTCTAACCCATCGCTCCTCAATGACAGTCATATTTTTGTAAGACATCTTTAAACCTGATTCATAAATTGATTTACTGTTAATTATGGTATTCGCTTTTAGACTTTTAACTTCACTCTGGAAGTAGCTGGTTACTGTTCACCTAACAACACGGACCGTGTTTCCTGTGAATCTTCTGTGTTGCCGCGATGTTACTCGGCTCTAGATGACCGTTGCGATGGTTTCTGGGATTGTCCTACTACCGGTCATGATGAGGTTGGTTGTTTTTGTCCCACGGGTACTGGATTTTCTTGCGCAGATTTCGCTACCACTGGAATGTGCTACAGTCTCTCAGAGAAATGTGACGGAGTTTCCCATTGTGCTGACAGATCTGATGAGGTAATCGTTGATTGTATTACTTATAGCTATTACAAGTAGCCATTTCGTGTCCTTGATGTTGCCAACTTTCTCTTGAAGATAATACATTATTTTGGTGGCTGTTTTGATGTTCTCTAGTTGAATCTCTTATTCGAATTTCAGTGTTCGCTTTGTAAGCTGTTAAATCAATGAATAATCTTATAATTTTGTAGTTACCTTCCTTTTATCAAAATAATGAATTCTATTTACAGTTACTTTATCTGCAATATTTTTGGCTTAAATAATCGGTGTTTACTTGAGCTGGCTTATCTGCATTTTTACCCTTGGATAATTTTTATGTAGCTTTCCAAGTTTTTCTACCATCCGAAATTATAATTTCCATTCAGTAACTTTTGTTTTATTTTGATGGTGCCTTTCTCATCAGCAAAGCCTTAATTGAACTTTTTCTCTCAAAAGCTTGTTTCAAAAAATATTTTCCTTCTGAGTACTTGGCAATTGCTTTTATTAAGTGGTTCACCCATCCTGTCTTTTAACTTGCCGGATTTCGCCATGAAATTTCAACTTCAACAGCCATCGTTGTTAAGCCTTAATGTTCACTGTCTTCGAGCAAATTATCATCATTTAAGATAGAATGTATACCCATTTTGTTATTTTTTGCTTCGTTTTTTAAACGAAGGACTAAGCTTTTTTAGATGACCGTTTTTACATTAAAGAATTTTCCTTCTCAGAAACGAATGTGGAAAATTGTCTAGAAAACAAACGGGAATATTATCGAGCTTACTCATTCCCTTTTTCTCTAGTCGAATTGCTTGGAGATCCAGTGTTCCCTCAATTCTTCGCGTTTTCTCTGTCTGCCTCTGAATGCCTCTACCACCAACAGTCATCTCCAAACCGGTGAATGCATCTCCCTCTCTCGCATATGTGATGACCATGAAGACTGCTCCAACGGGGCTGACGAGGCCTCAGAACTATGCCATGATTCTGCGGTCCCCTCCTCCAATGTCTCCTCACCTTCTCCACCTCTTTCAATGCCTCCCATTCAAATCCAGACCCCTATGGAGCTGCGTAAGGTTCGCATTGCTCAACACTTTGCTTCTCTTGTCACCAAAGTGGCTGTGGAGGACGCTGTGGTGGCTGCTACTTCCCGAGTGAATTCTCGACTTAGAACTCTCCTTACCTACGTTCTTTCTGCTCTCCTGGGACCTCTACTTATTGTTCTTACAGTTGGGTTGATGTGTAGATCCAGTGCTACTTCTGCAACATCGGGCAGACAATCTGTGGAGGAAGCTAGAAGGGCTAGGCAACGTAAGCACTCTTTGTTCTATGTGTGGCTGCATAGCGTATTTTTTATGTCTAAGATTTATACTATCAGTGTATCAGTGGCATATATGGAGTCAGAGGTCTTGGGGTTTATGTCCATTGGCGTGCACATAGTGGGAGATCGTGAATTTCTCATCAGGGAGATTTCATGTTTCTGCTTCTTCTCTATCTAAGATGAGTGTCTGAAAATGTTTTTCTTCGTGAGCTTAGGAGATGGTTTCAATTTCAATGGCGACGGCTTTCGGACATTTTAGGGGACGATTTGTCCGTCTAACTAATCTTCCATCGGGAAGCAACGAACTTGTACACATAATTAGGGTCTCCACATTTAATATTTCTTTTCAGTATCTCTGTTAGTAATGGCCTTTGTACTTTTTTATGATCTATCGCAACAATGGGTTGTTGATATCTTTGGTTATTGGTAATGTTTCCCCTTTTTTGCAACTTGATAATTATTTGAGGTTTATTTTTCAACGGACTTTTTAAATTTTTCCTTTGGCTTTAAGTCTATGAGAGTGTAGTGCCATTACACCATTCAAGAAGTCTTTCAGTTTTCGCGTTAAAGTACTGCTTAAAGTACTACCGTGGAAAGGACATAATGGTGGGATAATTGCTTAAAAAACCTCTTCTTCCTCTTACCGGGAACTTTCATATTTTCTTTCGTATGCCTATTACCTTTCTTATCCGTCTGACTTATTAGGAGCCTCGCCGCACTATGTGATGGAGATAAGGCAGAGACGGGTAGATTTTATTAGCAAAAGCGAGATACCATTAAAATAGAAATTGAAGAGGTTAAAGACCTTTGAGAAATTATGGGATTATATGAAGATATCGATCAGGTGGTTTTAGGGGCAAGGCTGGTCAGAAGGACGTTCATGTCATAGGGTTCGTAGTATCTCCAGTCCCTATTTCCTTTTTGGGAGATCATAATGGACGCTTAAAAATCTATTCGGCCTAAAACTGCCCACCCAACCTTAGTCCAAATCGCTCTAATTTCAATACTGAGAATCATTGTTCACGAACGGAGCTACACTGATTGTAAAATACTCAAGTGGAATGTTCGCCTTAAGCATTTATATCTGGCTCGTGTGTATTGAATTTCGCGGTACATTCTACTTAATTTACTCATTCCAGAGGCTCGTTACAACTCCCCCATTCAACGTCTAATTCGTGAGGAAATTCGCCGCCGTCCGCCACCACCTACTTACGAAGAGGCACTCAACAACAGTCTCTTTGAGGAGCCAATCCTGGAGGGAGCTATTGTACCTCCGCTTTCTACACCTCCAACTATTCAGGGGGTCCTTTCGCAGGAACGCATTGCTGCGGTGCGGGAAATGTCTATGAAACCCATCCCCACACGGGTGGACGTTGCTGTCTCGTGCGATTTGCTTAGACATGGAGTCCCTATCTCGCCCTCACCATCGTCTTTGGTGAATGCGTCGTCAAACGTGGCTGCTATTGAAACAGGTATGATGCTGGAGTGTTTTTCTTCATTGAGTCAATATTGATAAAAATGGTTAAAAAATGATTAAATGTGCTAAATGTATAAAACTGAAATCGTTCCCTATTTATGACTCATGGTTAGTCCTGATGGAAAGTGTGTTTGTTGAATGCTGTCTGCCTATTGAAAATCAATTTACTGCTTCACTTCAAAATTCAATAAACTTATTTTTATTCACTTTTCCTTCAAGTTTATCTTTAAGGGAGAAAGTCCGGAATTTTGTCAACTCCATCGTATCTATTAATTATCCATATTTTTTTGGTACTAAATGTTCTCCGTTTTAATCACCACTAACCCTCTTTGTTATAGGAAATATTTCCTTAAGATATCTAGGGAAGGCTATATTGAATGGAGATTATCCATTTAGCCCCCCGCATATCGGTGATGGGTAACTTGTAGATGTCCACCGATGACTTTCAACCTCTTTGTGTTGAGTGTGGCGAATGAAACGTCTACCACTGCGTTGTCAGTTCACTTCTTGTTATTGTAAGCCCTATGAAAGTAAGATTTTTCAGCATTCGCTTTGAACAAATAAAATAGCTTTACTGGGAAACATTTAAGCGCATCAAACTATTGTTGCCCTTTTTTCACTTTGTGCCCTCTACGTACACTGGTGACCATCAATCTCAGACTTCGACCTTGGTATGCGTGTATGGCGGCCATTACCTCAGCAGTAAACACCCCCACAAAATTTGTGAGAAAGTTGATTTCGTGTTTCAGTATGCCTGCTGGTCTGGTAGAGACTAATGGCGTAGGCGGGTTAGAAAAGTAACTAACAAGATTCATTTTTTATCAAGAGAGCATAGTCACTTGAACTAGATTCTTCAAACTTTTCTGTTTACAGCCAGTCGTCGAGAAGCTTCCACAACTAATCGAGAAGATCAGATTAACGATGCTGGTGGTACTAGTAATGGTGACAGCAATGCACAAAACAACGCCACTGGTCTCTTGCATCGCTGGTTTCTATCCGCCCTGGGTAGTCTGCGTCGAAATGGCAGTGGTGGTGGTGGTGTTAATGGTCTAAACGGGAATATCCATTCATCTGGTAGCGGTGGCACCCATCTTCGTCATGGAAGTAGCTACGAGCAACAGGAAGTTTCAGAGACGACTGTAGTGTCTTCTATGCATGAGGAAGAGGAGGAAGATGGAGAAAGTGACCCTGAAGAAGAGGATGGAGGTCGCGATGAGGAAGGTGATTATCAATCTATGTCTTCAAGACGAAATTCACTAGATAGTCATTCGGATGAACAAGGAGATGAAGCTGATAATGAAAGGAGGCTCCATCCTGTCGCTTGTGAGTTTAAGCTTTCATTTGTGACTAAATTCCGGAATTATTCTACACATCCTTTCACATTTCCACCCTATTGGCTTTCAATCGTTAGCTCATTCTCGTTTATAATTTGTATGAGTTCTGGAAATCCTTCCACCTAATTTTTTGCAGTTTTGTCTGTGACTCAATTAGAATAGAGTATTTTTTTAGATTCAAGTCGTTTTTTCCAGCACATTTTAAACTCATATTTCAGCGGTTAATTGCTATTAGGTTGGCAACTAAGTCATTGCCGATTTCAAATAAGAAGGCAAATTCGGAATTTTTGTTTAAAAATATAACTTTATTCAATTAGATATTGGCCGCTCTTGTCGATGACCTTTTTCGATCGTTCTAGCAGAGTAAAAATTCCCCGTTCGTAAAATGTCTGGTCTTTGCTATTAAAAAACTGAATTAGGTGTGATCCGACATCATCCGCGTAGGTAAAAATTTAACCATTTAAAGAGTTTTGCATGGAACGAAACAAATGGTAATCCGAAGGCGCAAGGTCAGGGCTATATGGTGGGTGTGACAAAACATCCCAACCCAGTTCCAATAATTTTTGCCGAGTAACCAAAGATGTGTGGGGCCTTGCGTTATCATGATGGAAAATAACACCCTTCCGATTTGATAATGCCGGCCGCTTATCTTCAATTGCATCCTTCAGTTTTTCGAGTTGTTCAACATACACATTTGAATTTATCGTTTGGTTCTGCGGCATGAGTTCAAAATACAGAATTCCTTTGTGATCCCCCCACCAGACTGACAGCATAATCTTTTTTTGGTGAATCTCTGCTTTTGATACTGTTTGGGCTGGTTGATCTTGCTTCACCCATGATCACTTGCGAGTAACATTGTTATAAACTATCCACTTTTCGTCGCCAGTAACTAGGTTCTTCAGAAATGGATCATTCTCATTGCCTTTCAGTAGCGGCGAATCACAGATGCTAATCCGTTGAGTCAAATGAACTTCCTTTAACTGGTGAGGGATCCATAAATCAAGTTTCTTGACATAACCAAGAGTTTTTCATTTTTTTCAATGCATGTATGCGACACATTGAGCTTCTCTGCAATATCTCGTGTTGCGCTGTGACGATTTGAATCGATAATGGCCTTGATATGGGTTTCATCCACTTCGACTGGGCGGCCAGATCGTTGTGAATTTTTCAGTGAAAAATCACCGGAACGAAATCTTTCAAACCAATTTCGACACTGCCTTTCTTTTAAGGCTTCATCTCCATATACGGCACATAACTTCTTTTGTGCTTGCGATGCGTTCTTGCCTTTTCGGAAGTAATACAATAAAATGTGTCTGAAGTGCACGTCCTGTTCTTTCATTTTTAAATTGGGATAAAAACAAAACAAAAGAACTAAACAAAAAAATTTTTTACTAATTAACCTAGAAGCTCATACAGTAAGAAAAAAATATAGGTTAGATGCTCTGGCCACGTTAACAAAACAAAAGAAAGTATAGAGTGAATCCGTCAACAGAAACGGCAATGACTTAGTTGCCAACCCA